AAAAAAGAGAAAAGATAAATCAAAAGAGAGGTGGAAAGAAGAAAAACAGAGAAATTTTCGAAGTAGGGGAGGAGGGGGAATGAAAAGTGAGGGAGAAAAGAAAGAAATAGGTGGGGGGGAAAGAAAAAGATGAAGTGGGAGGTAGGGGGATGGGGTGGTGGTAGTTGGGGGAGAGGAGGGATGGGGAAAGGTGGACAGGGATCAAGAAGCAAAGAGGAAAGGAGGAAGAAAATAAAAAAATAAAAGAAGGAGAGTAAAAGAATGGGTGTTGGGAGAAAGGTGGGGGGGGGGCAAATAGCGACTTCGCTGCTCTGCTCGCTGCCGCCGGGGGGGGGGATAAATAGCCGGCACGGCACCTCTTCAACACGAGTGTGCCATGCTACAAAGCCATGGACACACTGTGGCGAGTGTGTTATGAGGCTGCTTACGCACGCGCATGGCTCCGGCAGTGCCTGGGTTTAAACCCCTACAGCAGCTGTTGCATCCCGGATCTTGATAATATAAATCCGGGAGCGGGGCAGGGCGGGGCAGCAGGGCAGCGTGGGCGCGTAGCACGCGCGCGTGCGGCGGCCTTGGCCTTGGCGCTTGCGCGCACGCGTCGTGATGCGGCTTCCTTTTTCGCCACGTGGACCTCTCCTGCTGCAGCACCTTTTCCCGTCGTTTTTCCCACTGTTTTGCCCGAAAACGCCCCAAAAACATCCAAACCCGACTGTCGGGTTTTGCAGTATTTCGCTGCTGTGCGGTGTGGTGGGTGGGGGCGGGGACCGTTCCCGCTCCGATACCAATGTAGCGGACCCACCAGGTGTGGTGCTCCGCTAGTGACAGAGATGGAGATGGAGGAAGAAGGGGGAGCAAGATGGCACAACGCAGCTCCCCACGCAAGACTCCAACGCACGTACTCCAAAATGTGCAAGTGAGGAATGAGAATGAAAACAGACAAGGGCTGGGGTATACTCCAGCGGACTGACGGGACTGGACTGGACTGGCTGGTACCGACAGAGGTACCGGACTGGACTGGCCTACCCCAAATATAACACAGGCCTGTGAGAACAGGCCAAGGGGCTGGTCTCACAGGCCATCCCGAGGTCCGCTACAACCCGGCCACGCTCAAACTCATGTCCCCATTTTAACAGTTCATGGGTGTACCAACTGACCTAGGCCCGTTATTTGCCTGGTCAGCCCCAGTACCAGACGCAGCGGTCACAACAGTTCACTGCAGCCTTTGCTGGCACCCCCTCTGCCCACGCCCTGCTCAGCCATGGCTCACCATCTTTCTGATCCCAGTGGGAATACTCACATTGCGACCCCAAATCCGCAAAATATGTAGGTTTGGGATAGACCAAGTCGAGGTTTTAGGCATGGCTCAGGTCACACTGCTGTACCCCTTTCAGATAGGACAAGTATGCAGCAATGGCAAATGGGTACTTCGCTGGTCACACAGTGCTATCCCCAAATTGCGCGCGAACTCTTGTGAACCAATTTCTACCAATTCTCAAAAGTGATGCCAAAATAAATAAATAAAATAGGGCATCTGCGGTCATCCCCAAATGTGACCGCAAATTCCCTTGCCCCGAGGCTACACAGGCTGTTGACAAATGGGCTCACAAAAATGGTACCTTTGGGGTCTCGGCAAATCTGTGTGACCGGTCCCGCACCTCGCTAGTCCCAATGGGCATGCTCACTCTCAACCCTCTCACTGCAGATCCCGGTTGGCAGACGGTGCACCCGCGGAGTGTCCCCGCTACTCAAGTTTCTCCCGCCTCGTGGCTAATCACCGTCTGGCTTGCATGCACGTTGAACTCCTCGGACCGTGTTTCAATAGCTCATGGTTGTATCAACCGGATCAAGTCTGTTGGTCCCCATAGACAGTCTTCATACCTATACTGGGGCCGCGTCTCAGAAACGGGACCGACAAAAAAAGAAAAAAAAAAAATATTAAAAGTACGGACACCGGAAGATGGTGCTTTTGAGGAAGGGAAACCGTCAGTACCCTTCTCAGTTCCGCCGACCGGCCCACGGATGGGCCGACAACAAAACCAAGGGGGATAGCCCCGCCGGGCCCTCAACCCCTCGGCATCTTCAGCCGCTCCAATGTTCTATCGCGGCCAGTCACCGCCCTCGATCCCTATACCGTCGCTTTGAAAGTTTAATGTTGTTACCAGTAGTGCTAGTACCCAAGGCTGAGATGGAACACCGCAAGATTTAATATAAATTATTGTCGCACGGCACGTGGGCCTACCAAAATACCCCAAGGCCACTCCTGCGCCTACTGACCAAACTCACGACTGTTGACCTATGACGCCCGCTGCTCATAGGGCATATCTCCGTCCATGACTGTCAACCTCTCGCGTCCCCCACGCAGAGGCCACCGCATCTATTCTATTTTCTCTTGCATGCCCCAAGTACTGCCCAAAGCAACACCACTTCCGACGACGCATGCCGTATGAACGCAGGTGCACCACGGTCGCTTCAATAAAAGAAAACTTTTCCTAGTTTTAATCAAAGCCAAAAATTTTGCCGGCGGAAACGCTGATTCTATAACATCAAAATAAAATTCATCACGCACGTCTCAAAACTGCGTGCTCACACACTCTCTACTCCTAGTCAACCATTCAGTCAGTGCGAACAAAACGCAACTGCGACTCGCGCAGTGTGCTTAAATTTCAAACGAAACTTATTTTCTGTCACTTGTCAAAACCAGGGCGGATACCCTTGTAAGGGTATTCGCGCCGACAACGTCCCATAGGCTTGTTTGACATACCGCGAACATCGTTTTATGAGGTTGTCCAATTTCTTGGTGATGTGGCGGTAACAGTCGACAACTCCCTCGTTTCGTTGCGTTTATATTTCCCTCCAGGGAGATGTCGAAACTCGGAAGAGTTCGAAAAATGGGGAGAAAAGAGTCAACAATAGGTCCAAACTCTACCGGACAAGCTGTGGGCTCTCGACTGGGTTGGTGGGACGAACGAGGCTGGGTGTGGTGCGGCTATTTTTTTGACAGAGGACGAAGGGACGACCTGGTACTGTTGTGGTGGCATCATGACGTTCGAAATTGACAAGGCGACGACAAAGAAGGGTAAGGTCGACGAGCGCGTCTTGAGGAAGTTATTCCTCACTTCAGTGTTTGATGATCAGGGTACTGATTGGGTCAAAAGTGGTCGGAAAGTCAGCCTCGACCTTGCTCTGTTCAAGGGATATGGTCAAAAGGCTTTCGCTATGAAAGCCTTCGACGTCAAGGGGGATGAAACTGGGTTCAGGATGCTCTATCCCGTTGATTTCCTCAACAAGACCAACGACTATAGAAAAAGTGGTTAGTACTCGATGGTCAGGGCTGGTCACCATCTTATTATGCCTCTTGTGCCATTCGACACTCCTGTCGAAAGTCTTGCAGGCTTATCGACGTGCTGTAGCGGCCGTCGTCTGGTTGTGTCAGCACCGCAACAACCTGTTCATGACAAGGATAAGCTGATTACTTACTCGAGGCGTTCGGGGGGAGGGTCATCGAACAAGCATCTGAAGATGAAGGTGCTCGCCACACATCCTTCGCAACTCGCACGACCTTCTAGTGTTGTCGGCAGCTCGCACTCGCACTTGCGAGTCGCAGGATACCCGACAAGAGGAACTCGACGTCGAGGAGTCAGAGGAGCGAACGGAGGAATACCATCGGGTTCGTCAATTGGATGCACGGTTCTTAGTGACACCTAGGCACATGTGGGGCGAAGGCTCGTGCGACTTGAATGTGGAGCGAGAAGTTGGGGGAGGTTGCGGTGCCCGGTTCGGGGACGATGGAGAAGATGACGAAGAGGAAGGGGAGTGTGGTAGTGGCGGGGGACGCGGACACGGTGAAGGTGGGGAAGACCATTGCGATGGAACGACAAGACATATGGAGTGGGAAAGAGGTGCGGCAAGCGGTGGGATGGACGATGACGGTACGGTTGGTGAGGATATGGAAGAGGAAGAATTGGAAGACAAAGGAGGAGATGTGGGTGTTTCCGCAGGGCAAGCTTTGAAGGGGAGGGAAAGCACGCAGCTGAAGTGACCCCTACGCCATCCGCGCCAAAGAAACAAGCTAGAAGAAAAGTTGTAGACGAAGCTCGGGTCGTCTCGGATGCATCGCAGGGGACGTCTGGTGAACCCGCTGTGAAACACAAAGCAAGCGGTCGGGTACGCAAAACGTCACAGCCCAAGAAGAACATGCGGTCATCAAGGCACCCCAAATCGGATGACTACAGCGACGACGCTGAAGGGGTAGACCCTCGTATGTCCGACCTCCATGGCGACGACGAACAAGGAACAAATAAACCCCGTCCGATCAACATGACGCAGTGCTACTTTCTCAAGTACAATGAGCAAGGCAAAAAGAGAAAAGACCCGCCAAGGGTGGTGATTGATGTCATGCAGATCCTTCAAATTCCCGAGGGAGACATCGCCTTCAACCAACAATCGCTGAACCCGGCCATTGTTGCAGGCCTCGAGGCAGCAATTGAGTCATCAATTGGTCTGAGGGAAGAGGATGGTCCTGCTCGATGGGATCCACCGGAGTTGATGCTGGCTCCGATTATACCCTCGGCGGCAGATCTGAATGAGCAAGGAACACGTATCGTTCTAAAGGACTTCGATCCCGATAGGGCAGGTGAGTACTTCTATTATACAGTCGTCGGGCAGCATACTGCCATGAAAAGAGCAATGGAGAAGGGATCCGCAATTGTGGACATTTTCGATATTCAAACTTATGATCGTGTGCGCATCATTTATTCTACGATGATCACAAGAACGGGTACGTGTATGTTTCAACGTATGACAACACGAGAGGTGACTGTGTTGTGTTGCCGTCGTTCCACCAAGCCTGTCAAGACATCAGAAAATTATGGGTGTTGAGGAAGCGGATCGTGCCCGTGGGGAACATGTTAAGAACGGACCCTTCCGGTCTAACGCACCAGAAAGAGTGACGACAGTTCATGAGAATTTGTATGGGGCGGTCGTACGAAAAAGCCTTGCGGACCGAGGCTTTGTGTCCAAAGTGGCAAAAGGACTGGTCGAACAGGATGAGGGGATACATGAATGTCGCCACTCGCAGGAAATGGATACGGTTATTGGTGAAGGAGTTTTTTGTAAAGTATGAAGCAAGGGAATTGCCGCTACATGATAACAAGTGTCCTAAGGACTTGCCTGGGAGGCAGGAGGGACGGGTGTCGGGCCAATTCGTTGAAGAGGTACAGGGGAAGGAGGAGGTTTTCCATTGTATTCAGGATAAGGACGGGGGAGCAAATGCTACAGCGTCCTTCAAAGATCTCGTGTCATCGAACTTCAAATGTTTCGAAGATATGACGGCGCGAGAGAAGGAAATCCCTTTGCGGTTAATGATCAATAAGAAAGTCATCGCCACAATCATGCTGGTTCCTCTAGGGAAGTTGAACATGACCAACCTCCTCGACATTATAATTCATGAGAGGTACATGGTGCGTCTGTTCAACTACATCGTCTTCAAATCCAAGAACAAAGAAACGAATGAGTGGAAGGAGAGGTTTTTCTTTGCCTATGAGGAAATGATGCGAAGGTTTGGTGTGAAGGCGGATGAACGAGACGAGCAAAAGGATAGGATCCCCCTGGAGTACATCCGGAAGGTTCCGAAAAGACTTGGCGGAGAGCAAGAGGAGAAAGGCCTGAAAGGAGCTCGCCTCAAGGCCACCGGGGCATTGTACAGAGACGCGTCGTTCCATTTTAAGTTCTTCGTGTACCACACAATAGGGAAGGTGGACTTGCTGACAACAGAGTTGCGCTGGTTAAAGAATGTTGCGCTTCATCTGTGTTGGGAGAAGAAAGGGCAATGGTCAACATTGTTGTCGATCAATATGCACCCAAAGGAGTTGTTGCGCGCGGCCGGCGAAGTTGTGGCCGCAACCACAAACTTGAATTGCAAGGTCGCCATCCTCGATTTCGCAACCCCGTCGCATTACTCTGCGTGGTCGCCGGACGATTTCGATGCTGTACACAAAATGATGTCCAAATTGTGCGGCAATAATTGGATTTTAATCGTTTTTGCACTACAGAAACAATAAAAGACCGTAATGTGACACCTTTACAACTGGGAGAACGTAGAGGTGATACCTGAGACTTGGAAGCGCTATATGGGATTGGAATGACTATCAACAAATATGGAATTTGGCAAGTCGAGAACAAGGATGTGATGGTGATTGTCCTACATGCCAAGGGCGGCGACCTCAAGAAGGTCATGAGAGTCCCTCTGTCGGAAGTGGAGCTAGTGGAACTGAACGTTGAGGAAGACTATTTCAAGAGGTGCACTGCGAAGCACGGTGACGATAGAGGAAACGAAAGAGAGGAATATGGGCGGTGGGAACAACAACCGTCACGGTTGCAGAGGTTGTGCAGTTCGTTTTTGTACGAGAATCAGGGGGTAATAGTTCTCGGAAAGCCGCATGCTGGACTTGTGTGGGAGTTTTTGCGCACGGGCTACCATGTTTTTGTCTGTGATACGTCATTGAAAGACATTTCGTACTTGACGAAGGTCATCGACATTCTTGGAAAGGACGTGAGAAACGATTGCAAGGTTGAGAGACAGAAGAATGCACAACGTCTGGACAGGGATATGTACCACAAGCTGAGAAAGAAGAGAAACAAGATGTGGGAGTACCTGTTCGCATGTTCTAAGGGCAACCCAAAAAGTCATTTGAGCACAACTACGCAGTTCGCAAAGCGATGGCTGGGAAAGTGTATAGTGGTTATCACAAAGCGCAGGTAGACACGTTTACGCTTTTTGTAGCGTGATGCGAAGAGCTGAAGTCCGCGAGAAATCGGACCATGCTGACGTACGATGACTCCAATGACATGGCTAAGAGAACAGATGCATGGTGTCCGATCGAGAGCGATGAAGAGACAGAAAACTCAGATCTGGAAATCGATTTGCGGGTGAAACGTTTGCGAGTGGTTGGAGGTATTGGAGAGGGAGTGCAAAGTGTATCGGGATGAAGCATACAGAAGAGAATCCGGAAGGAGGTCGCACGAACTCGGGAGGTGTGAGCGTCCCTGACTCCCTGCGCCTGACATGAACAATAGGGAAAGTTTCGTTGAAGCATTCCCGAAGGATTTACCGACGTCACTCCAAGCACTTGAGAATATTATCATTCATGACAATCGTTACGGGTTTCGGGGAGGTTAAACATCTGGAGGAAACATGGGTTATGACATGCTCGAAGACGTTGACGAGGATGACCTTGTTGTTCCAGGCGTCATCCCAAAGCTCATTCCATGTGATGATATTTCTGACTACATTGTGCAGAACAGTGCACAACCATACTTCATTCAAGACAAGGTGCTAGAAACGCCGTCCGAAAAGTGGGCGCATCATATTTTGCAGAGGTGCACTGCGAAGCACGACGCATCACATTTTGTGGCATACGGATATGTTTGAGTCGTGCATTTACAAGGGGGAATGGATGATGGCACTGCATCTATCATCAGGATGGAAAGCCAAACCCGGACTGACAGAAGATATGTGACTGCAAGTAACGAAGAGCGAAATCATGTTTCATGTCAAGTCCGAAAACGAAGGGGTGGGCAAACCTGTTATATTGGAAAAGGCTCACTGTTATTCGATTGTTTACGCATGGACAATCGTTTGGAATATAAACATAAATTTTATGACTTGCCATCAAACCATTCATAGAAGAGCATTAATTGGAAGATCGCTCAACCCTCCGCATACCAAGGCATCGAGAGTATCATAAAGGGATGCTCACAGCTTGCGGAACAGCCAGCGACGAAGTTTGTTGCAAGTGTTGGGGAAGCAATGAACCAAACTGTTGTCAACAAAAAGAAATATGGGTTTGAATCGTACGAGCCTCCTCTAATGAGTCACGAGAGTGCATCGCAGATGGAGAGTCTCACTCCTACCGCGAGCGCGGAGGTTGCAGATGGAATGCGACTAGGTACGTGTACACAACGTGCGAGTGAGGCACAAGAAGATTCCGATGAGATGATGAAAGTGTTGATTGAGGCGGAGAATGAGGGGAAGAGGAAGCTTGAGAGGTCAAATATATCCCAAGATGTGATTAGTTGTATTTCATTGAGCGACGAAGGGCAGGACACACATGGGGAGGATGTCAGGGACGACAACGATGGACAAAAGGAAGTGGATGAAGGAGGTCAACCCACCAGACGATCCACGAGAGAAAAAACGAAAAGAGTCCAAAAGACAAAAAATGAATGTATAGAGATATACAGAGGGTGATGTATGGGTTCGTATGTTCCTAAGGAGAAAGTGTGCATGTGTGTGTATATATAGGACATGTGTATATGTGTATGTGTGTGAGTGCTTGTACACAACTCAAATAAATATTTGGAGGGAGACGCGTGATGAAATAATTGATTCCAGTTAGAATTTGAGATAAAAGTGTCATCCATGATACATAATACTCTCTCTCTCTCTCTCTCTCTCTCTCTCTCTCTCTCTCTCTCTCTCTCTCTCTCTCCCCCCTTAATTCTTCATAAAGGTTTCAATGAATAAGCGAAACTATAGATACATATACGTTTTTATCTCTCTTCATCTATCTGTCTGATTTTCGATTTAACAGGGGTTCCGCGTTGAATTCTCGTTGAATCCCGTTTAAACGCGCGTTAGATGCGAATAAACGGGGTCCGCGATGATTTTTTTCGTGGTCTAAACGTAATTAAAAAAAAAAAAAAAAAAAAAAAGGTTTGTAGGTCTTGTCGAGGACTACAATCCTATATTTTTATTTTTATTTTTTGATGTTTGGTTATATTTAAAAAAAAAATAAAAAAAAAACATAAACACATTAAAAAAAAAATTAAAAAAAAATGAAATGAGTGTTTTTTGTTTTGGGTTTCACAGAGATTTTTTAAGGGCTAAAAAAGAAAAAGAAAAAAAAGAAAAATAAAGGGTTGTAGATCTTTTAAAGATGTACAACAAGTTTTTTAAAGATGTCAACAACATTTTTTTTTTTTTTTTTTTGAACTTTTTGTATTTAAAAAAAAAAAT